CATTCGCGGGGCGGGCGACGCCCGGGGGTCGGGCCCCCTCATGGCAGCGGCCCGCGCGCTGCCTCCTCTCGCACCCATCCGCGGGCGATCGCTCCCCGCAAGGGCTGCTCTGACGCGGGTTTGATGCAGCCGAATGGTGAGGGAGCTGCAGTGACCTTGACTGGAAGGTTACGGGGGTAGCGGGATCCTCCGGGCAGCCCGCGCTGAGCGCTGCTGCGGGGCCAGGCAGGGGGTTTGAAACGAGCTCCCTGCACTGCGGCCGCAGCGGGAAAGGAGCCGAGCAGCGCGTCAGGGCTGCAGCAGGGACTCTGCTCGTTAACTCTAACGGTGTTGCAACAACTGCCGCTAACCTAAACGGACAGCAAATCCAATCACTAACTCTGTAATTGTAACAGCTTTTATGTTATTCTGAAATTTGTATTTACCGTTACCTCTGTTTTTCTACAGGCCTCTGAAGATCTTCTGAAACAGCACTACATTGACCTGAAAGACAGGCCCTTCTATGCTGGTTTGGTTAAATACATGAACTCTGGACCTGTTGTGGCCATGGTAAGCAGCTGGGCTTTCCTTAAAGACTGCTTTCTTGCGTTTCTTTATCTTCCTTTGCATATTGTTTTAAAATACTCAGATACTCAGTTAAACACTTTTAGTATAAAAACACTTTCCCCTTCAGTGACCCTCATTTGATATACTGGCAGAACAAAATCAAAATGCAGATAGTCTAAATTGAGAAATTGCTATTTATTAACAAGGAAATACTGTGCAGAAGAAATGTGTATTAAAGAATCCTTAGCTTTTCTTAAATGAATTGCTGAAATCTGGTCTTCTGCATCAGAGCCCTTTGTTTTGGGAAGGAAGTGGGGTTGGGGAGTGGGGCTGTCTCCCACTGAAACTCATCTCTCGTTTCGCTATTCGGAATATGTCCCCTGAACAAACACCAACAAAAAGCCTTAGTAGCAGCACGTGTAGTGATTAGAACATGCTAGCTTCATTATGATTCCCTACAACTCTTGAATCATGTATTAATAGGTGCTTTTTTTTTCTCTCCTTAAGGTATGGGAAGGACTGAATGTGGTTAAAACTGGGCGAGTAATGCTAGGGGAAACCAACCCTGCAGATTCTAAGCCTGGTACCATCCGTGGTGACTTCTGCATTCAAGTAGGAAGGTAAAGCTCTTGCTTAGCGTGCTGTCAACAGAGACTTAAGTTATGGCTGTAGTCTTTTCTTCTGGACGGTTGAAGTTGTTGACAGATTTTAAAATGCTAGTCTGATAATGTTTTATTTGCAGGTCATGATCCATAACTGCTACTTAAGAAAATGGCTTGTTCCAAAACACAATTTTGTATTTTGAAATACAGCTACTCTGCAGAGCTTTATGTAAGACCAGTCAGTGGCATTGGTTGTGCTAAATTAGCTCTAGTGACAGGTGCTGAGCTTCCTTAGTTATAGTTGGATGATGGCTGAATACTGTACCTGAAAGCAGTAGTCTTGCTTCATCTAGATTGGTGCAGAGGGAAAACTACTAGATTTCTAAAGGCCTGTTTTTATATGAAGTGTGTTTTTCCTTTTTCCTCAGAAATATCATTCATGGCAGTGACTCTGTAGAAAGTGCACAGAAGGAGATCAACCTGTGGTTCAAACCTGCAGAGCTTGTTGACTACAAATCCTGCGCACATGACTGGATCTATGAGTAAAAGGTTTCCACAATGAATTGTGCCTTCTTAAGAAGTCATCTCATTCCAGCTATTGATCTGGGAGCAATCATCACCACGGTTATCTTTGTCATTTTCGGAACTGTCAAATAAATGGGATGATAAGAACTAATTCTGGGTATTGTATTCACTAGGAGAGAGGCTTCTTGTGATGAAAAGCCCACTAAAAGTTGTGTGATGACTGCAACACTGTCCTGCACCAAAAGAAAAACATGACACTACTCACTTTCAAAATTCCCTCTATGGCATGGTTAACATTAACCGCCTGTGAAAGAGGGGAAGCCAGTGCAAGGCTTGTACTTACAACACTTCCACTCAACCTAACTAAGAGCATATTTAAACAAAACACTTGAATAGTTAGTTGATCAGCATACTAACTCATGTGCAAGCTCTTCGAGTGGTAGGGATGTGTTTTTAAAACTAGCTTTGCAATAACTATCTTGAAAATAAACATCTAAGCTTTTCAGTGAAGAACTCCATTAAGTCTAAATAAACTTCCTAAACCTCTAGTTTTTCCCATAGTACTTCCATTAAATGCTCATCTAATCTAGTGCTAGCTCACACTTATCCCATTCTTCTTTCCTTCTTGGATTCAAGACCCTTCATGTTCTCCTGTACTCACAAAACCGTTTCTCCTGGGTTATATAATAGTAGGGGTTCTGCAAATCAGTTTTTGGAGCTGTGTTTTCTATCAAGAGAAGCTGAAGTACATTTATGGGCTAAGGTGTAGTTTAGTTTAACAGAACAATCACTTCATAAATAGGCTTTTAACATTTTTATTTTGTGTAAAAAAGGCAAATTTAGTGAATTATTTTCATCTTGTACACAAAGTTATAATTTTAATGCTTTTCACATCCATGCTGAAAATCTGCAGTCTCGTAAAAATGAAAGTAACATTAATTTCTCCAAAAGCATTTTTTCACTTAGTTATGTACATTGCATGAGAAAGTTTTAAATACTTTCTCTCATTGACCACACAAATTACCAAGAAAATAAAAGATTAAATTTGTACAGATATTGATCTATATATCAAATACATACAGAAATGATGTAAAAACCCTATTTGTTTTATCTTGATTCGCGCCCCAGCATATCTCCCAGGGGCCAAAGGGGAGGCCTTTTTGTATAAACGGCTGTGGCTTTTCTTAAATATGAAAATTAAAAGGAAGAAAAATTCAGTTTAAATCACAGTTTTTAAAATCCCTTCCCAATAAAGGATTGTTACCAAATATATTAGCACCATTGTACAAATATTGACGGGAGAGGGTATTCACATCACATAAAACAACAATAATAAAAACAAACAAACACTGAAACCCGTGTTAGTATCCGTAGAACAAGAAATTGATAACTGCTTTAGCTTTCCTCAGATGCAGCAAGGAAAAGGTTAAAGAGTTGTATTTAAAATAACATAAAAATCAAAAATCAGATTTTGAGCAATAAAAGAGGGTAGCTGCAAAGTAAGATGTGACTTGCAGTACCCCATAGTTGTAAAAACCTGCTATGCCAAATACTGAAATTAATTTGATCCCCATTAAAGATTTCAGACGTCCAACACCTTGCTCTTCTTTTAGCCAAGTAACACAGCTTAGAGTGTAAATAAACATGTGTAGAACCATGTTGTTTAATGCTATACAAATACAGTGCAGCCTAGACTATGGTACCGCAGCCAGGACGCAACCCACTGTAGAAGAGACCATTCTCTAAACAGCTGGTAGCATTTTGCTCAGGTTTTACTCAAACCTCTCCTAAGCAAACGACTTCTTTTAGTTCCTTATGTGGTTTGCCTAGGGCAGATTCCACTGTACTTGACAACTGTGCAATATAGGTATATTTTGAACTCAGAAACATGAGCAGAATTTCATCCAAGAATCCCAGCATGCAGCTCCTACTGAAGGCGCATGGGTATTTTGAGAGTGCAACTCGACTCACAGACATTAGTGTTTAGCTGACAAAATAGCTATTTTTCAAGAATTACGAAGACTGACAGACTTCAAAGCCAATTCTCACATTTCTCCATCCCAGGAAGTGTATTCAACATAAGTGCTAAACTTTCCTCTTAACACTTGAAGACTGTACCTAAAAAAACAAACGGATATGACCAGAAAATCAAGTTCTAGGTCTAGCAACCCAAGTCGAGGGATCCAGATTTCTGGACTGGGAAACACAGTTTTCATTACCAGCCTAGTTCTCCAGCTCAAAGTCACATTAGGAAACACAAACTTGCACAGTCGTGTTTCCACTTAAGTCATGACGCTTAGTTAAAATGGAGGACTTGAAGAAGGCAAAGTTGTGCCAACCTGTCACAGCTGATCGGGACCATCTGCAAATGGTTTAGTTCAAAAATCAACAGTGATGTGCTTACCAACACAAACCAATCCTTGCAGAACTTGCCAGCCTGCTCTCAGTGGGTTAAATGGAGAGCTCAGGTAAATAAAGGCTCACAAAAATGCGATTACATTTGTCTCATCAATCCTATTGCTGGATCCCAGCTATCCAGTTGGCTATCCTCCAACTCGGGCTATTTAAAATAAAAATAATGGTTTGGCAAGAATCTGAGAGAATGCATTTGACATCTACCAACCCCAACAGAGTCATTTTACTATGGCTATGTTAGAGCACTAAATGTCTTCACCACCTGAATTTACAGATATTTATAACTTGATAACCAGATTCTGTCAATATAAGAAACTATTGTCAAAAAGGGGTCATTATTAAAGTAATTTTACCAGTAAGGGAGAAAAGAATTCCAGACATTCCTACACTATACAGGACGATTTTTACTTCCAGTAGTAAATACAAAACTTTACATAATTAACTCCTCTTGCATAGAATGAGGTAAACCTGTGCATATTACCAATACTATGTACCCAAAGTTAGAGCAATATTTTAGGGGAAAAACAAAAAACAAACAAACAAAAAGAAATTGCTGGTTTTCAACTTTCTATGCTTTTTTTTAAGCTCAAATAACAATATAGAAAAATGATCTCCTGGGGCTCTGTGGGTTGATATCCTCAAAGCATTTCATAGGCTGTAGGAACACAGAAGTTAATCATTTTCATTTTTTTTTTTAAAGCCCTAACCTATGGTCAAGAGTCAGATGCTCATTGTACTGCTCTGAAGGGGACCTGCTAAGACCCAGAAGAACTTACAGAACATATGCAATTAATTCCTGAGAGTTTAGTTAATGAACCTTACTGGTAAAAGCTTAAGCTCTTGATGCACATTTTTCCAGTCACAGCTCTGCAGAGCTGATAATTCATTCTGCTAATCAACTTCATGAAGCCACCTACAAAAGTGTAAAAAGTTTAAAATATACGGAAGGATAAAATCAGAATAATTGACAGCTCAAGCTAAAGTACTTCACATTTTACTGTTAAGTCATTTTCACTCTCTTGCATGATTTTTGCCTTTCAAAGAACATATGGACAGTCAAGCAGGTGGAGCTAAGGGATACGTGAAGTGTGACGCAAGGATTCCTAAAAATGAACAGATGCCATTTACGAACATATCTTTTCTCAGATCTTAACTTCCATATTACACTATCCCAGCAACAAAAAGAAAGAGCAAGCTCTGCAGAACCAAACTATTTTTTTTCATCCGTAATGCATGGTTCTTCTCTGCTCACCTGGAGCCATGTCGAACATCAGTTTTAAATGCGATGAAGCGCAGAAATAAATACCTAAGATGGTGAGAAAATATCTAGGTCTTCCTGAAGGGAAAAACAAATAAATGAAAAGAACACTCAGAAGTCCTTTTTCATTACCAAGACAGGCCTGAGTTATTGTCCATCTAGTTTCTTTGCCAGTCTAAATTCATAGCTGAATCTAATCTCCCAAATGGGGGAATTTGCTGAAGGTCCAGTTTGGCATAGGGTTCTGTAAACATTTGCTGGAGCATTCCAAGACTACAGACATTCATGTACAGACAAGAGCTTAAGAGTCTCAATGCAGTGCCCACAGCGGTCAATGGAGACAAGGCTACGGATATTAATGGGCACTGAATCAGACCCAAAAGGAGCTTTATTTAAAAAATCTTATATAAAAAAAGTATTTTAACTAAATAAAAACATCTTGAAAAGTTAAAATCTCTCTCGTGACGGCTCCATTGCAACTGGGGCTACTCACTGAGTAGAGCTTTACAGAACTATCTCCCACCTACAATTCATGCCTCTAAATTAGGGCTTAAATTCCTTACTTTCACAATAAAAATCAGAGGCGTGACCAGTGCAGTTCACAAGAGTCTAAAAGTCTCCCAACTTGTACCAAAAAAGGTTCATTTGTTATGACAGTTCATTTGTACTTGCAACTATATCTTCCTCCAACAGTTTCCCACAATCCTACTAATTAAACTTTAATCTTACCAAAAAATTAGAATTTCAGTTCTTGTTAACAATGCACAATAAATCTGAACTTGAAAATATTACAAAATTCTTTCAAAAGCTTCAAATACAACACAAAAGTGTCCATTTTTGTTTTTAATAAATTGAAAAATCTTTTTCACTAAAATAGTTTCCCCGCCTTTCCAAAAATCTCTGAACTGAGTCTAACTCATCTACAGTTAGCAAAGTGCCCCGGATACAGCCATCCAAACTGTCCTGTCAAAGTGGGAACAAAATCAGTCAGTCTTGGAGAAAGGCTCTTTTCCTCTCACCAATACTCTGCCCCTCACTTTTTTGAGCTCCGCCTTTATGGTTCTTGTTTGATGTAGTAACTGGCAGATCCGTTGCTTTCCTGATCGGATGCTCCTTGAAGGAAGCTATACTCTTCTCCATCTAGCAACTCCTCCTTCAGCTGCAATGAAGTCACTAAAAATAGAAGATGAACATTAAAGAGCCATAAAATTCAAAGCATGAACAAATTTCCCTCAAGTTTACTTAACGAGATTTAAATTGGAAACAGATCCGAGATTTCCAAATTTTTAATAAAATGTAGAACATAATTCTTTCAACACTCCATATCCCACAAAAAGTAGACGTTTTCTGACCTTAGATGGAACATTAAATTATGCTCTAATATTATTGTGTTTAAACAACAGATTTCAACAACATATTAATACTCTGCAGAGGTTTTCTCTGCAAGAATTTATTAGTTGAAAACTCTGCTTTAAGATGGTATCTGAAAGTGCAAACAAAAGTAATGAGTATCACTCAAAGCACTGGTTATTTCACTAGTTACTCTTCAGCTTACTTACTGTTTATAGCCAGGTAAAAATAACTACTGGTCATTTGCAATTTACAAACCATATTTAGCTTTAAGCAATCTTTTAGCTGACAAGAAATAACTTTGACAAAGACTTCCCAATATATCATTAAAATTTTAAGATTCCAAAGATCAGTTTCATTCAAGCAAAACATCTTTTTTCGTAGCTTTAATCTTCCTTCTTCCTTCTTTTGTAAAAATAAAACAGAAATGAGATCTAAGACATAAAAAGAATGATGTTATGAATAGCAATAATGTCATAATTACCTTCCAAATTTCTTAATGAATAGTGATAATTATTGAAATGAGCAAAACATATGAAAAGAACACTGAAAACAAAATAAGTCAACATTTTCATTAAAGGTGCAGTACCCACATTAAAAGGTTGATTTATACGAAAATAAATGGTTCTCTATGACCAAATGAATGAGAGAAGTATTGAAACTTATAGCCACTGAATACAAAGCTTATATGCATATTAATGTCTTTTGAAATGCAGAAATATTATGCGGTGAAAGCTAAAAATAAAGCCCATAACTTGTTGCTATTTGTAGTCCCGTTAAAATTACAAGGCCTTTGATCATTCTTTTATTATGCTTCTATACTGCATCTTCTGCTAAACATAAACAAATTTTCAAAATCAAGATATTAAAAGTATCCCCAGAATTGAAGCATGACACAAGCTCTGCTAATTTATCTAATGGATGCCTCCTCCCCATCTGCTTGGTCCAAAATCCCTTGCTTGTTTTCACTTCTCCTTGCCTCATACCCAACTCTGATGAAACGCCCCATTTCCTTTGGTCTGGGTCCTCTGTAGAGGACAACAAAGGTACTGTCTAAATAATAAGAAACATTACTAGTTACTTAGATATGCTGTTAATACTTTAAGAAAATGCTACATAAAAGTTAGGAATATCACTTGAACTCTACCAGGCCTGTGCCTTTCCTTCTCTCCCTCTGTATTTAATTCTGCAGGAGCAAGAACAAGAGCTGTATGAGAGCAAGAGCAGTCTCCACAATTTGGCTTGCATCTGGGTAATTAGAACCCGAATCCTTACATTCAGATATTTAATGATACTTTAGTTCATTTGTCCCTACTATTCAGCTATTTAGCTGAATATTGCTATTCAGCTAAAACTCCTGCTAAGAAAAACTTACTTACAAACATACAACCAAATGGTTATTTGAAAGAAAAATAGGAAGTCTTATGAAGTCATCTGACTGATGATGATCTAAGCAAAAGGGACAGAGACATGAGAAGTACTCTCTTTTTAAGCATGTTTTGCTAGAGACAAAGAAAAACTGTTTGATGTCATTCCTCCTGCCCCCAGGAACATGATTATAGCAATAAGAGCAATGGTTTAGAGGGAACTACATGCACAGCAAATATAAGGTGAGTGACCCAGAGCAGTCTCCTTCCCCAGCAGGCTGGTTAACAGTTCTCCATGGAAACCAGCTGCTTTAAAGATCATTTCACATGACTCAGAGATTCAAAACATTGGGCATGTGAAGGAAGCGGCATGACTTGGTTGGAGAACAAGAACGCTTCTTCCAGACATGAGGAAGCACCACCAAAATCTCCTCTACTGATGATGGTATAAGAGTGGAAAGAGCTCCTCAGTGCTCTGACTAAGATCTCTGATAGACATTTTAGATTAGATGCCTGTCTCATCAATAACCTTTCACCATTTTCATTCAAAGCCATATATGAATCTTCTGCAAAGTGCCTATATCCTAGCTGTAATTATTGAAGTGTGGGGCACTGTGATATGCTGAGGAATACACACACAATCTAGGAATCTTTGTTGATCTCAAATGCATTTTTTGAGACAATTGCATCAGGGCTATGCCTCCCCTATCCCTCAGACAGAAAATATGTAGTCTTGCTAAAAGGTATAAAAATAATAATAATAATAAAAAAACTTTGCATAATAAAAAGACTGTATTGTAAATTAAAATATTTTTGCCCAACTCCTCGAAAATTCGAAAATTGAAGAGCTTCTAAAGAAGATAATAGAAAGCATCAGATCTCAAGGTAAAGAAGAATTTTTTGTAGGAACACAGGGCTATAATGCCTCAGAAAATTCAGTCTATGCATATACGTGCACTAAATATTTGCATTTTAACTATAGCTTTGACATAGAAGAAGGACAGTTGTGCAGAAAATGCAGTTGAGAACCTCCTCTCCTGTGTAATGTTTCTGTCTTGTATCAAGGACTCTAAGAGACATTGACATGAATCCAGGAAAAGCAAAGAAGCTGAATTCTAAAGGAAAGTGTACAGGTGATTTGTTGTTATAGCTCCTGTGCTAATGAAATAACAAGTAATTAATTTTAAATACTTTTACAAAATCAGTGCAGCTCTGTTTCAACTCATCCCTGAAGAGATACAACAGTATTTGAACCTCAAAAAAACAAGATAAGTTGAGACACCTTGAGGGATGCAAAGCAGAGTCGACATTTGTCCTCAGGGTCCAAGAAAAGCGGCAGGTGGGTTATAATGTTCTATAACATAAAGAAATAATATACAAGAGAATCTGTGTTCTGAATATATCATAATCAATGAGGAGAGAAGAGAGAGAAAAGAAAAAAAGCCCAATCCTGTGGCCTTCTCATACAGAAAGAAATTTTAAGAGGGTGAAAGTTGAAATAAATGGATCAATCTGGCAACTGTCCTGCAGGGAAACCACAATTCAGTTTGTCTGACAGATCATATAACTACATCATATCAAAAAGAATCTATATGGCCTTCATATCAGGAATAGGAAGAGAAGTTATCAGTTCCTTGAAACGGGCGTCTGAAAATCAAAGATTACATTACATAAACCTTTCTTAAATAAACCTTAAGGTTTTAATCTGCTCAATATTATGAATAAACGAAAGCTTTAGTGAGTTTTCCCCTGACAAAAAGGTAAAAAATCTTTCTATCTTCTGCTTCTGGTGTTTTCTCTGCAAAAAGAGAAAATTCACACTAATTTCCTGCTCATGTCAGATATTCCCAATCCCACATTACCATTCAGTAAGTCAAACTCAATGCATTTTAAAATCACTGCAGCTCCACAGTGCCTTTGTGCATTATTGCAATCTGGCCTCAGATGAAGGTCTGAAAAGGCTGGAATCCTTTTTCCCTAAGATTGATTCAGTGATGGGGTGCATCAGTGAGAATGAAAAGCTCTCTAAGAGGAGAAAAAAGAAACAAAAAAGCAAAAATTAAAAAAGAGAAAAAAGAAAGAGTTGATGAGTCAGCATATTCCGTGCTACATCATGCTTATGTGCCCACCCTGTCCATCATTTCCCTCTGCAGGAACAGAGACGGAGGTGGCGAGTTACCTGTTTTGAGGCTGGGACTGAACTCTCGGCTAGTCCTGGGAGGCGGGAAGGCCTCCGGGGCTGTCTGTGCTGGCAGGGCTCGGTATGGAGGAGTCAACTCTTCATCCCCAGAGAAGCTCCTCCGCACCCCACCTGTCATGGGTAGGCTGGACAAACTGACAGGTTTCTTCCCAACTGGTATCTTCCTCTCTAAACATCAAGTCAAACTAAAATAAACGCTTGGGTTAAAGTGCATTAGGTCACTCAGACTGTTCACTGAGCACTGAGGCCTACTGAAGGCTGATTGATTTCTACTCCTCTATGTATGATCTCCTGGTTCAAAAAAGCCTGTTAAGCCTTTAACAAAATTATTTTGTTCTCTATACTTCAGTAATCACACCAAACCAAAATATTCAGGCATTTTAAACAGTAATGATAACAAATTATTATTTCCTGTGATTCAGCACTTCTGTTGCTATAGTCTATTTAGAACACGTGGGAGGAAGCCAACTATAAGGTATTTTCATGAAGAGGTCTTCATCTCCTCTAGATAAATAACATTAACTCGATTTCTTACTAGTGAGTCAACAGAAAGTACTCAGAAGTTCTTCCCCTTTTACATACTACAAGTTGTTTCAGGGCAGAGATGAACAACCAGTCCCCCTGGAACAAATCTCCTCCCTATGGCAGCAGATAAAGAGATTTTCTTTTCCAGTGTCTTTGTCACTGGTGCAGTGTGAAAGAGATCAGGAAACTTTTGTAGAGCTAACAGAGGGAGGAAAGGGACGAGGTAAAGCCTGGCATAGGTAGGCTATAGCATACACTTGAAGGAGATCAGGATCAGTCTACAGACTCTAAGGTTTATGCAACGGTTTTCTTAGATGCTGTTGTTTCAACTCCTACTACTATTCAACCTAGCAATAAGTCTATTTATTTACAATGTCTTTTAGACTCATTTAAATTATTTTCCTAAACTGTGTTTAAAGCTTATTATGAAATATAGTTCGACAGTATATTCTTCCCACACCTGTTCAGAAATCCTCAACGCAAGAGCAGTGGCCAAAGGCAGCCACAACAATGAAACTCTCTGGAAAGAGGTCTCAGTAAGTCAATCAGATGATATAGATTCTACTGTTCTAGCTGAGAACATCAGATCTCTCCTAAAGTTACATTAAAGAATGTTAAGAAGATCTTTAGTTAAGTTTGTTGACTTGAGGGCAAATTTACTTTCCGCATCAACTGTTGAGTGAATTGTCCCTCAGACCTTTCTATTAAAAAATATTTTGTCTTAGAAGCAGCGCAAAGTCCATACAACAGATTATAGACCTTCTTCTGCAGCTCATCTTTCCTTACTTCCAGCATAAATACTGCAATTTCTTCTCAACTCCCCTTCCCTTTCAAGGAAATACCAAGGGAATGAGTCAGTGAGGCTTGATGTGCTCCAAATATACTAAATTGTTAGGCTGTCTTGATATTGGGCATAAAATTCCATCAAGACAATTATTCATTCTTATGCAACAGAAAAAAAAATCCTCTCATTTACTTTTATTTTTTTTGGAGAATCTTGTAAAATAAACAGTTTAAACATGATTAAAAATGGTGTGGAACTTATTAAGAATACAGGATAAGACTGTATTCTTATGATTACCATTTCATCTCTCGCACACATGTTTCCCAAGCAATGGCTGTAAGGTTGCTGCTGCTCTTGACTCAAGAGGCAGCTACCTTTCAAAACTGCCAATTTATTTGAGAAATATCTTAAAATTGCTTGGAATAGAACTGCTTTATGAAATTACAATATTGCTCAGAGGAGAGAAAACAGATGGATCTCATTTCTAGAGAAGAACGATGAGAGAAGGCACAAGGCCCTCTTGAATTGACTGCCTCTACTCCCTCTATTTTACTCACTCAAAACAGATTTCTAGTTTAAACAGCCAGAGTCAGGGAAAAAAAGAGAGTCAAGTCCACGGAGGGATGTGGACCTTGCACTTGTCCAAATTAAAATTCAAATCAGTTGTGAATTTTAAGGAAAACTTTATCCTGAGGGAAACAATTACTATGTAAACAATCTGAGTAGCTTTGATGTAAATCTCAGATTCTTAAAAAACAGTCATTACTATGTTTTACTGTGACAAGAATAGTCATGTAAAGCAATGCTATTTATTGTCAGCTTCCCACAGATGTCTCTCACCCAGAAAACTGGCAAACAAGCCGCTTGGTTTTCAAAAGGAACCAGAGCCGGTAACAGCAAGATAATGCCTTAAATTTCCTAATTCTCTTTCTGAACCAAATAACTTAATTACTTCTACAGCTGTGTTAAAAATAACTATAAGCAGAGAGGTAAAAGTCTGTTAACTGATATCTGAGCAGTTTAAGGCAGTATACCTAGTTATTCCATATATTCCGTAACTAAAACAATCTCCAAATACCAAAAATACTGTAACATTTGTCCATCTACAATTCATATAAAATATATTTAACAATATCAACTCTGTCACAAGTTATAAAAAATAGATATTCTCAGTTAATTAAAAAGTTCCTTTTGTGGCATACTGCACCTTTAAGCATAACACCTATTTTACACACAAGCAACACTTCCAGATAGATTAGGGACTTAGGGAGAGACCACAAACTTTTCAAAACAGGAAGAAAAATGCAAACAGTATTTTGTCACCCACTTTTCTTATGTCCTTTGTACTGTTGTGACTTAGCTTTTTTCTTCTGTTTTGATGAACTTGACTGGCTATCTCTTGATGCTGCAAAAAAATTTCAAAAGCAGAATTAAAGCTTGGTATTTTGGAAAAGCACTTCAGATGCGTTAGAGAGATGTTCTATCCTGTGCAGTAACTTTAATGACTGAAAGAGGGTGGAAGAATAACTTTTCTGAGGAAAATTCCCTCTATTTAACTATAATCCTATTAACAAGTACTGAAATAGTTACCTATTATCACATATCTTGCACATGAATAACTCTATGCACACGCTGAGTTCCATCAAATTTAGTATGTAAAGCATATACTTGCAACCTTAAAGGATCAGATATTATCCAGAACTGACCAGGACATAAAGTTTTTTTTTCCTGAGGACAAAGTAAACTTTTCTTGGCAATAAAAACAGAAAAATAGTAAGTAAACACAGAAATGACCAGAAGTACTTTAACGGAAGAGATTAGAACCATGAAGCAAGCAATATCTTCTATTTTTGTTATAACTTTTGTCCTTTTTATGAAAAGGAAATGTTAAAAAAAAAAAAAAAAAGAGTTGAAGTTAGGACAAATCACAGAATAACAAGGACCAGAAGGCAACTGCTACGCTATTCGCAAAAACAAAAATTTACTTTGTGGTGGTGCTGGAGGCTGTAGTTGATATCCAGTTAGCTGACACCATCCCACTGGATAGAGGTCTGGAGACTCACAATCCACCCACTGATCATATTCATCTTCCCATCCATCAAAGTGTATCCTCAGTAGGCGATGGATAATGCGGGTTACTGTGGCTACACACACTAGACGAGGTTCCATTAGATCTACAGCCTCCAGTTTCATTCCAACATGAAACCCATGGTTCGGAACTTCCTGGAAAAGGGAACACATCAAGAGGGTAAAAATCAGGAAGCAAGCATGCCAATTACAACAATTCTAAATAGGCATGTATGATGTTTATTACCTTATTGAAGAGCTTTACAGGTGCTGCTATTGAGTCGCTTTCCCTGAGGTAGTCAAACCATTTGAAAGGGAGTTTTGCATAACCTGTGAATTGTAAACATTTTCACAAATCAGCTGCAAGCTTTATAAATAAAAACTACAAGAACAGTATATTGGCATTGTGCTACTGCTAAAAAGATGACAAAGAAGCAAGATATTAATATCAGAAACTTCCACCACTCAGAGCTTTGGTCTAAAGGACAAGGACAGTCCACCGGACACAGCCCGATGCAACAATCAAGATGAAAGAACTTCTAGATAATACAAAAACTGTAATTCAAAATTATTTTTTTATACTTGAAGTTTTCTGTCCGCGTAGATCCATGATCTCTACATTGCCCCACACAAATCACCCAGAACAGAGTATGTAATTAAGCACATCCAGCGTCTTTCCTGCGGGGAAAGAGCTCCACTATTGAAAAATTTGATTTGTTAGGAAGAGGCTGGTAAGAACAGGCATGGATATTTTCAGACTTCAATAAAGAGGTTAAAACAGCAGTAATAGGGTAAGTTACAGCAGTTTTTCAAATTTAAAACCAATGAAAAAAATTCAATAAAGGGAAGAAAATCATATTTAGCTTTTGCTTTCTACTGATTTCTTAAAAAAAAAAAAAAACACCCAAAAAACCACAAAACAGCAACCCACACACGACTATTTTTATTTTGGATAACTTAAAGCAGCTTAGACTATCAAGGCATGGCACAGTGATGGATCTCGCTTGGATCTCATTGGAGTCACAGTATGGAGCTCCCACTGAGCTGCAGCTCAGTACTGCAGGGCAGGACTCAAAAGGGTAGCTAAGACTGGGCCCAAAATGCAATCAAATTCTTGAAAGTTTCTAAAATCATCAACTTCTGGTGATTTCAGCAAGTGCTTAGGATGTTCAAAAAGAATAAGCCTGTAAGCTAAAAGACCAATGATTTCACAGCAATATACTTTAACTATCCATAATGCTAGATGTAATTTGGAAATGGTATCCAAAGTGAAGTCATATCTGCATAAACAGATCAGCTGGATAACTAACAAGTGATATGGATACTAACATATTAATTTAACATATTAATGATTTTTTTCTTGTTTTTGCATAGGCCGATTTGTACTCAAGTTGTTTTATTAAATTCTCTGAGCTTTTACTGAAGACATGGGCACATGGTTCTAGCTACAGTAATCAGAAGTAAAAAATAGTCCATTTTCAAGGCCACAATTCAGGCAGTAGTCACCTCAAGAGCTATGGATCTTTGGCCATTATACCCATTTATATCAGTAATAAAACATTTGGTATATTAATGTACATTACGTTCTGTATTTTACTGCAGTTAGTTCTCCATTCAAATGACTTTTAGATTATTGCATAGGATTTATAATCATCTCTTAGTGGATGATGCAGGCTTGTTATGGAAAATTGCAATACATGGGATAATATATATATGAATATAGAAAAGCTGTAGTATAAAACAGTACTGTAAAACAGTAGTATAAAGGTGTTAGCAGTAAAATTTGAACACTCTTGTATAAATACTGTTTGAAGACTAAAATGGAGAAGTTGCATCATTGAAATAAAGTAGAAAATAAATTCCCTTCTGTTTAATGCTTTTGGGTCTGAACTAATTAGTACTAATATGTGTTTTCTTTGCATCCTCCAATTACTGATGTTGGACTACATATTTTATAATGTTGGACATCATCTTGGACCAGGTATTTTTTGACAGATGAGCAGGTTTAGAGAGAGAGAAAAAACAAAACAAAACAAAATCCCACACACAACAAAAACCCCAACTCCACTCTTCATATTTCTGATACTGAGATGAGACCCATGAATTTCTTGGCAATAAGCTCACTAAATGAGCTGACTGAAAAAATAACAGTAAATCTGTCCAACCGCAGACCTTCCACATGCTCAAAGGTGACAGATTCATTAGTGTGTGCTAAGGAAGTGCTATGAAACTATTATCTTCTTGTTGTATTGTTGTTCTGTGTAATAGTTAAAAAAAAAATTCAACAAATACAAGCAGAAGTCTAGCAGAAGTCTGGTAGAATAAGAACATATAGAAAAAACTACAGAAAGCCATGATGTTCTGCTGTTACACAACTAAGTACAATAAACTGCAAAGACAGTAAAGTAGAAAGATGAAGGCAATAAGAGTCTTCTGTAGGCATATATGCTAGTGGACAGACAGCTTTTCTTACAGCAGGGATTATGCCATGCATAAATCTATAGCAACTTCTACAAAAATCAAGTTTGTGAATCTATTTCAATAAATTAACTACCGTTGTTATTAATTAGCCCAAGTCTGACATTTTTAAAATGTTCTTTAAACCTCTGCTTGCCAGAACTTCCCAAGTACTGACATATTCTGAACAGTGACTTGCATATTTATATTTCCTGTTCACTTAATAGCTGTACTATTCAATTTATTGTTAATCTCTCAAGTTCTGATAGTAAAAGCAAATTAATTTAGTCAGTGAACCAATCAGATGTTGTTTGTCTTTTTATGTACGAAAAGGTTTGGTAACTGTTTTAGATTACTTTGATGTTATGTTGTAGTATTGGTTTCAGACTCGGGAAAGTCCTGAAAAGTGACAAGAACTTTGTAGACTGAGTTAAGAAACAAAGCATAAGGCATATACAATATCACTGAAAAATATTAAAAATAAAATGTGGTCAGAATGCTATATGTACCTCTGGGTGGAGTTAGTTCAATCATGTTAATTTCACAGAAACCAACAGGGAAAATAGAAGGGGAAGTGGCATGGTAACAAAACCAATCAGACCCATCTGCTGCTTCTGAGCCATCAATCCCAATCATAAGATAGCCATCTGCTAAAACCTTTGTAAAGAAAAACAAAATTTTACATTAAATTCCTTTAACTGTGTGATAAGGCTAGAAAGAAAGCATGCCATGTTTCAAAAGAGTAAATACAACTGTATGCTAAAGACAATACTTATAAGGACATTCAAGTAAAACAAACAAAAAAAAACAAGTCATACCTGTCTCAATGATTTTCTGTGAACTATTGTAAAGAGTACCTTAGTTAACTGCAAAATTGAGAGGGGAAAATATCCTTCTTTTTTTTTTTTTGGGTGAACATGAGCTTTTTAAGCTTTATAATTTAGTTTACACTTTATCTTGCATGGATACTCAGCACTACGTAAAGAGGAAAAAAAAAAAATCAAGACAACAACCTTACTCATGGGTAAGGTTCTGCGAGGCTGCTAAGCAACTCTTTACATTTCCTTTTAAAATAGACTTCACATAGATGGTACCTTTTTCAGCTAGGAAAAAAAAGTACATTCTTCACATATATATATACGTATATATAAAAATCTTCGTTGGCTTCCACAGGTAAGCAAGATGAGGTTTTTAGAACAGGGTTGAAGAATATTTGGGATAATTAGCAGAAGATTGGCCTGCAAATTAATCTCATAAGCATGTTATTTCTTAGTCAACAATAACATTGAATTTTCAGGCATTAAAAATTAAATTAGAACTTACATGAGTATATGCTTTTCTATATTACTTGGCTAGAACTGAGGATTCAATGGATATGCAGTGTGAATGAACTGCATTTTATTTTCTTTAAGCCTTTTCTTATGTTTCAAAACTAAATAAAAATGAGTTAAAAATTAGATTCATATCTACCTTCTTAAATAGACATTTGCTTTCTTACCTTTCTAATAGTTGCCACACATATTGCTGAAAGGTTTAAGGGATCTATAGCTTCCAATTTCATTCCTTCTTTAAACCACTCCCCTGCTGTGTCAACCTCTTTTACCTATAGAGAGAAAAAACAGCGCCAGAAGCTAAGAATCAGTGAGGCTGGAACGATACATCACCACACATTATCAACACAAAAAGACTGAAACGCCTGTCATAACCTCTTCATATGTCAAGAAACCTGAGTTGGTTAAGCATACGAATAAAAAACCCAACACTTACACTGGGCATGTTTTCAAAACTTTAGCAAAGTTGCAGTGCTGTTTCATGCAGAGCAGGAATCAGAGCTCCTCATCAACTGCAGAAAACAGTTTTCTTGCTGGCAAACTCACCTTCATAAATAAGTGTGGGGGTGCATCAAAATGTTCCTCTTGTTTCTTTGTAATATCTACAGGGAAAAATGGTGCATCCTTGTCAGAGACTTTATTAATGGAAGAGACAGTACATTTTCCTAAATATGGCAGCTAGAAGTTCCCATATACCGACATGCTCTGAACGGTCCTTTCAGTGACTTTCAGCACCACTCTTGAATTCAATTACACTTATTTATAAATGAGTTCAGTGGAAATATCTGGTACTACCCATTAGCATTATTACTGTGGCAGGTCCACAGTTTAAGACGACTACCACAAAAACCTAGTGATCTATTTTTCTTTAATTCTACCTGGAATACTACTAAAACACAATTTCACTTCTGAGGAAAAAACTCACTATTCCCAAGATTGTGCCACAAAATTGCTATCAATATATGTAGGCTTTTGCAAAAAAGTTGCCAGTGAAATATTTTGCACACTCTTCTATGCTGTGTTAGAAAATAAACTGTAGGGGACATCTAGGCTTAAAATAAATATACTTAATAATTACATTAACTATTTTAATTAAGCATATGAAGTTACAATATGGCTTAAGTTAAGCTTCACTAAGACAACACCGCCCACAAAGATACCTCTGAAACACAACAAGCTTACCGGATCTTTTGAATCTATGTCCTATACTTCGAGACCAACCAATGTGATGAATGAGCGGACTGTACATGTGGCACCAGAAGTCATCAGTTTTGTCTTCACTTTCTTCATACACCAATCTTAGCCGTCCTCCAATGACACTCTCTACCACTGCTACTCGTGTTCGACAAAGGTGTGTTTTGTCAACAACTTCTACTCTCATGGAAGTTTTGAACGGATATTGCATACACTCAGACACCTTAAAATAACAGGGAAAAAATCTGTAAAAAATACATTCTGTTTTTGCCTAGTCATTTGTCTTCTGCAACCAAAGTACTTCTTTTAATTCAATTACTTGCTAATCCACCTGCAAAAGTGACAGAATGCTTTCTTTTACGTTTTGTTGTACACGTGACAAAATGAAACATTTCACAAATCTCTGTAGACTAGATCCTACAACAGTACAAATGACTCCCACACAGGTTATAGGAATTTTCCATTGATTTTATGAAAGTTTGTTCAGTGATTAGCAATGGATAAAAATGACCTTGAGAAACAATTAGCTTTAATGATAAAGATTAAAAAAAAAAAATGCTTTGTCATCCACTCAAAATACAGCACTTAAACAGGATCAAAATACGGAAAATAATACTTGAACATAATTAAAGCTGACCACTCAGAGACATATTTCTTCACAATACTAAGGAAAAAAGAAAATAAAGGAAATACTGATCTGCTTTGTGAACATGTATTCTTTTTAACATGCTTTTAATTAAACACAGTATATGTCAACTCCCCAAAGCATTTAAACCTTTTAAATTTGATTAGGCTTCAAACTGAGCCAAGTTTTAAATAGAAATGAACATGTGCAGAAAATAAAAGTCTTTAGAATATTAGTATGCAGGTAGGACAACAATACAGGACTCCTTATATTCCTATGAAAATCTGTGCACCATCTTGCAACAGATACTCCTCCTCTCCTGCAAAAAGACAAAAACCAATCTAGCCTAAAGTAGATGAAAATATTATCATTTAAAATTAGGTATTTTACTGCATCTAGACATATGCTGTGTAAGCAAATTTTGTTTAGCTTCTTTTAAAAAAAAAGAATGATAAAAAATCCTAAATTAGCAAGATTAGTTTTACTTTTTTGCTACTATCTATCATTGGGCATCTTTTTAGCACTTTTTTTAATTGGGGTTATTTTAAAATTAGTCTTTTTCTCTCAAAGAAGTGTTTTTCAAATGGCATCATATTCTAACACGTGCAGAGATAAATGGAAAATAGAGATTCCATGGAAAACTATTAGAAGATCTTCACTATAAAAGGGGTAATGTGCCATTGTAAAATATTTCAGCTCTTCACACTGTGCTGCAATTTTGTTTATAGTACATTATTGATATTGCATCAGCCTTACCTTCTGAGAAAAGTCAGGAGGAAGTGTTTTGGCACCAGTAAGTCGTTTCACTAGAAAAGCTTTCCAGTTTGTGTATTTGTGTTGGATGGCTGTTGCAAATGAAGGGGAAAAAATAAGCCACTGATTTTTAAATGTGTCCATTAGAGACAATGTTATAGCCTGGAATATGTAAAGAAGAAAACCTACATGACTGTTAAAAAGCCTGGATGAAAATAATGACAAAATCCCTTTAGAGAATGAATGATACCCCAGTTTAAATTCATGTGTATGTTAGGGCAAAGAATTTAATGACAAAACATAAATAAGACCATTGCATATTTATGTCACTGATTAGTCTAACTGCTTCCACCTTGATATAGCAGGGGTTGCTCCAAGAAACACTGTTGCTATGGTGAAATATTCAAATCATAAGCAAATTTGGTTAAACCAAGAAGAGACTTTTAAATTATTTCAATCAAGCGACACTGCGAATATTTACATACATCGAGGAGGGACTAGGGGCTTCCCGCTGGTTGCACACCAACCAACTGGGTGGATGTCAGACCCACAGACATTGCACCAGAAGTCAAGATTTGAATCACTTTCAAAGCCTTCGTATCTTAGCAGAGCATTGTACCCTGAAAAAAAAAAAGCCCATTTTAAAAAAATAGAAAATTAAGCAAGATGACAAATGTATTCAGACCTCTCCTTCAAATGTAAAAAATATAACTCTGTTTTTCCTAGGATAAAACATTAAAAAAAATCTTGCTCCCGTCATTAACAGCCACTAAGTTATTAGCTCCCTCCACAGTTATTTTAATGGTTTTAATAATTTCAACCAAAAGATATTCACCTGCTAATTTTACAATTCCAGCTATCCAGAAGACTTTGGTAGGTAGGCTGCAGTCTGTGTTTGGAACCTCCACTCTCACACCTTCTGAGATATCACCCCAGCATGTCCCCATAGGTGCCTGTCATTTAAGATGGGGAAAAACAAGACCAGTTCACCATTGTGTTTACTCCACACAAAAATAACTATTTTTGTTACAGTGATGCTTTATGAGCGACTTTCCAAGAAGAGACAAAAATCGATATACATGGTAGACAAACATATGTTTGGATATTGGTCTTTCTGGAAACCATTGTTGCTTTGCTCTGCAGTTTATGTGCACTGATAATATACAATTACTATTGCTTATCTCTTGTAACAACCGTAGGATTGTTAAACATCTGTAAAGCACAAGTAGAAATAACATACTCACAGGCCAGCATTATTCCATGAGGTTTCAACTAGAGGCTAGTCACTGATTTCACTGAGAATGGTATAATTTCCCCCACAATCCTACTTTCAAGGAACTTACAGTACTTAAAAATGATACCATTGTCACAGACGTTAAAATCCAGTATATGATCTGTTTTTGTAACTTGCCTGAAAATGCTAAAGAGCTATTTACTGAATGTATCCTGAAGATTTATTAGGAAAAGGATTATCTCATACGGCTTCAGGGATTCACAACCTCTCAGAGAAACTGGCCTTCATATCACCCACAAATGATGGTTCCATCAAGCAAACAAAAAAAATCTAAGTTGCATCTTTCTAACAAAAGCCAAAGGGAAATGCATAGCTAGATTCCTCATGCACTGTACCTAAAGCTTAAACTAGGATTCTAGTAACAAGAAGAAATACAAGTCCGATGAACTCTTAAGGATTTAGGGGAAACAGATAAAAATTACATCTAGTTTGCCATCTCAGGAAGAATGTTTTGTTGGCCAGAGCATCATGAAAAGACAGTCAGAGATGATGTTGTAGAGATCAGAAATACGCAGTGCTGAAGAATCTAAATTCAACAAGAAGCCACAAACAAGGGAAAGGTTCCGATTTTAGATAGTTTAGAACAACGGTCATATCGAGTATAAAGGTACTTTAGGAGAAATAAATTCTAGTCAGTGCAGAGAGCATTCAGGTACCATAGAGGAGGCAGAAGGGACCCTTTGATTCCGTATCGTAATAGGCAGTCAGGATTCTAAGCATGTCTGATTTACAAGGCTTTTTTCCAAACACAGCATTTACACAGCTCACTGAGAACAGCCTCCAAATTCTTAGACTCTTAGTGGGGAGCCACAGGAGAAAAATAGTTTCATTAATTCTGAATGATTGGCAATTACAATGCTGGAAGTTTGTCGGCAATCAGCAAAGGCCAATTAGCAGCAGTAAACCAAATTTATCTTAAAAGGGGATGCTTTTAACTATTGAGAATATATGATGCTAGGCAACAAGTTTTAGACATTAAAGGAAATAATTCCACTGCAAGCATGCCAGTTTTGTACTCTGGAAGCCTGGTCTCTTCATGTTCTGCTATGTCCCATCTACACCGCTCTAGACTGTAGAGCTCTTTTCTGCCATCTAGCAGACAGAGTTAAAAACAACTTATAGATGACTTATTTTCATACGCAAAATATGCAGATATAACATCTTAATAAAGTCCCATTACATATTCATTATCATCTCTAAATTGACATTTGTAGCTTTTTGGATTGAAATGGGAAAATAAACTTTTCAAGCTGCATATTTTAGTAACTCTTGTTGCCTTGTATAGAAATACAGATGAGTCCAAACAATTAAAAATAGCAGGGCTGAACAATCTCACAATCCAGCGGCACTTCATCGAAATATATTTTACTGCCTGCTCAGTTAATTCAGAGAGAAAAGTGTATCATAGCACTTCTCCTTCCATGATAAGGGAATTGTCACAAATATTTTTACTTCTAAAACATGGATTGGTATAGAGGGAAATAGCAGAAAGCTAAATTTGTCCTTGTCTGTGAAAATATTGGTTCTGCTAGTTTCTCCTACACCAATCCACATGGCTCACCCTTTAGAAGAAGGAAGCCATCCTGGGTAGCATTCCTACTGAAAAGCCAGATATCATTACTGTCCTGACATGATGCTTTACAGTATACCTGGTATACCGTATATCTCTCCACTCCTTACATAAATTCTTAAAGTAGGAAGACTGGATAAACCAGGGCTATGACAGCCACCTTCCTTTACATCTTCTTCTTTACAGTCTTCATGCAATTAATCAATGTTTGCACAGTGCTCTGAAGAACTCACAAAGCACTATGTAAGTGCTAAGTCTTATTCAAGAGCTGGCTAGAAGGGTAACTCTGAAGTCTGGATTGGCATAGTATGAACTAGCAGAACCATAATTTACAGGTAAGAACAAATTTACCTTTCAGACTCGTGACGAAGAGATCCGCTTCACGTTACTCCCAAACAAGGAAGATCTGGTTCATCGCTTCCTGAGCCAGGAGATGACTTGGGAGGGTTTATCTGTGAGCGGCAGCTGCCTTCTCTGCAAGGTAAGTTGCAATCAGGAAGGTCCTGTTTGACAGGATTTGACAGCAGTGCACTGAACAAAGAACTGGCGGGTAAAATAACTTATTCCTAAAGCTATCCACATGGCCCTGATTTCAGAGAGGCAGCTTCAATCAAGCATTTAATAGCAAAAGAAATACTACCAATCCCTGAAATGTAGGTATACTGTGCTGTTATCTTGGGTGTATACAGCACCCTCCGAGAGGGTATCATCAGGGAAGACAAAGGAAAAAGCTGAAAAATCAAAGTTGAAGGCAAGGCACTGCCACCTAGTGTAAAATCCAGACATGGCCCCTTGGAGAAATAGGAATTTATAAGTGTTTTGTTACGAAAGAAACAGAGTAAAAATATTGCAGCTCAATAAAATTGGACTGAAACAGAGACTGAAAAAATGCATAGCTTCAGAAAAACGTGCATCTCACTAGCAACAGGTGAAAAAAATATTACTGCTATCGATGGGCATTAAGTAGTACATTAAGTACTGACACATGACTCACAAGGTACTTGCTTTCATTACCAGAACAATTTGAGCTATTAAAACCAAGTAGAGAAAAAAAAGTAAGAACAGTTTAGAAATATCAGAATGCTTTGAAATTAACTAGAGAAGAATTTTAAGACTTAAATATTTCTGCTTCATAATGTGTCTACATTAAAATTAAAGCAGGAATAATTTCCCACACTAAGCAAAGAGCCATGTGATGTGGGAAAGTTAGGCACAGATCTGAAACACCGAAATCTGCTGTGCTTTACCAAGTCAAGCAAGCCAAACCGCACATCTCAGAATCCTCTTACATGTTCTTTAATATTGATCCCAATGCTCCCTATAAAATATACATGCAGATAGAGCCAGTGTAACCAGGTGCACACTTACTTAACAAATTTAAGGATAGCTACATAGTTATCTTACTCCACTGAGAAAGTCTGACCTGTACTATCAGTCCTAGACCAGTATTTTGGGCAGGGTAAGCTTTATGTATTTGATCTTGTAGACATACAGAACGTGTGCATAAAATTCATAATATGAACAGTAAACAAAACTCCATCCAGTGTTACAAAAGCAATATAATACATACAAAACTTATCAATAATTTTTGCAGATAGACAAAAAGAAAATTGCTTCTTTTAATTCTCACGGGATAGAGAAAGTGGGAGAGAACAAAAGAATGATCTAAAAAAGGAGACGGAACTAATGTGCCTTCAGATTCTGAATGGTTTAATGATACATTTTTTGAAGAAATAATTATACTAAAACTAAATATAAATCACACTGTCATACCTCTAACTAACAGAAACAACCAAAGGAGGACTCAGGACTAACAATAAACTTTTACAGAAAGAGAGAGCAGGGAGAGAAAAGAAACAAGATTCAGATTTAACAGCACTTCTGCCGTCTTGATTGCAAAGATTTTCAAGGTAAAATATGAATGTTAGTATTATATCTGTTCTTGTTATTAATATACTATCCAGTATAATGAATGAAACAGTAAGAAAACAAGAGAGAACTCCTTCTAATAATGCAGTGTTGTAATACAGAATGCAAGTGGCATAATTGCTGCGTCCTAATGAAGTGCAACAGACACCACGAGGCATTTGTTGTTACAACAGCACAGTTATCAAACACTATCTTCTGATATGCACTTAAATTACTCGTTATAACGTGTACATGATCGTGGAAGCAGAGCGCACACGTGTTTATTCAGGCACGGGGAATCCACTCCGCATTCCCCAGGCTGCGCTGCTGCAGGGCGCTGCTGGCGGCACCAGCAAGGCCCCTCGGCATAAAGGGGGCTATTCAGGGAGCGCCAACTGCCAAGGGCCCTCAGCTCCGGCTGATTTACGAGACAGGGCTCAGCACCGGCTCCAGCGCTCGGCAAAAAAGAAATTTCTCTTCTCCCTTATAGACAACTTCTATGAAGCAAAATATTTATTTCCAGCGTAATTTTCAGCAGATGATTTTCAGCAAAATAAAACTTAGAACTGAGAAGCTGAAACAGTTCAGCTTTGTAAATAAATAAATATTTGAAAAAAAACTTTCTCTATTGAAGTTCTTCCTTAATCTAAGGCAATTTTATATCAAAGTACTGTCAATATTTTAAACAACATCTAAGAAATGGGTTTTAACAAATATCTTAAAGACAGATGCTGCTAATATTTTCCTCGTCCCATAGCTGCATTCTGTGAATTCTGTTAGGTTTTTTTGCAATACTAATACAGAGAATAAAATATTTATTTCACTTTTGATTTTTTTTTTTTATGAAATGTGGAGGGAAAAAAATCACAAGTTCAGAGTCCTCTTCTTCTTTTTTTTTTTTTTGTTTTAAACTGAAGTATGTATGATAAGCATATGATGGTGTTCAGAATGGTTTTAAAGGACAAGATAAAACATTTAGCTTAAAAGTAGTCATATTACCAGACTTCACAATGTAAGTCAATTTCCAAGGTTATAAAGCACATTGGGATATGAATCTATTCCAAAAATGAACCAAAGTATTATTCATAGTGTTTTTGTTCCTGAACATATATATAAAAAAAAAAATCTCACACACACAGAGAATAAACTTAATGAAAAATACTTACATGTTTAAAACACGTAACAGGAGCTGCTGTAAAGCTATTGCTATTGATGTAGTTACCCCAGCTGAAACCTTCCACGGGGACAGCTGCTAAGAGAAAGTTATTTTATTTAGGAAACTGCTAATAAACCACAAATCTTGCACTATCAAAAATATCTGTTTATACGCCATTACCTGCCTTAGTCTTTGCCTGGTTTTGTAAAGTTGCTTGATACTGAGCGTATGCTGCTAATTTAGCCACTAAGGGTTGTTTTTGTAGAACTTTAGCCTTCTTTGTTGGAGGTTTACCCTAAAACAACAATAACAAAAAGCTAAATAAATAAAGTCTTCCCAAACTCCCACTAGAAACATCTATAGGTCTGTGCCATATCCCTCACACTATTTTGTGAAAAATCACTGTAATAACTTTGAAAATGCGTTTTATAATTTATCTGCCAAGCATTTTTGTTTTTCCTGGTAGATATAATTCTTAAATTAGAACAACAAAGAATGGAAGATGATTAACAGAATATCACAAAACTACAAAGAATATTAAAGAAACTTCATTTACATAGAAAAAAAACCCACGGTGTCTAGAAAATGTCCCAAAAATTAGTTTTGTACCAGTATTCCAACTTGAAGAGCATACAGATTCACTTCTTTATCTGAAAAAGGTGTCTTCTAAAAGCTAGTTAAAAGGGAGAACCTTAAATCTAATCCATACGAATGCAATTCCTTGGCATTGGTTGCATGCAGCAATGAGATATAAGATAATTGCATTTCCTGACACTTCCATTTCTTCCCTTGAATGATACAAAACAGACGACAAAACACAGGTGATTGATATTCTAAATGAATAGACCAGAACTTACTTTGTAAAGCTAACAGTTACTAAGAAAACATAAGACTGCAATGCTAAAGAAACCTTTATGCTCTCTAAAGCCAGAAAGCATCTTAAGGGTGAAATATTTTCAAATGTATGTGCTTTCCAAATGACTACACATACAGATGTTATTTTTCTTACCGATGCACGTGGGCCACTGCTGCAGACCTAAAATAATGAGCCAATATTCTCTGTAATTTGCTCTACAGAGCAAAGGAATTTGTTCCATGATATGGTTTTGAATGTCAGCATACAAAATTTTTTATGTGAAAATGTTAATGTGGTCACACAGACTACAATAAATATAGAAAGAAAGTGGTTTCTGTACCGCTACCTGAAGCCTGGCCAGAATGCTGGCCTTCTTGGAGTTTGATGAATAGCTTCTAGAGCACGACACACTGCAGAAGCGTTTCGTTTTAGAGTAAAAAGCATCGCGTACACCAACCATTCCACACATCTCACATGTAGCTGATCAGAGGAGAGAAAGAGCAGAATGTTAGAAGGGTGATAAGGACTTCAGGAAAAAATCAGAACAAACGTGACAGGCAAAAGGCCCTGTAGGTGGCACCACCAAGCTGAGCAGTTTCTTAGGTTTTGGTGCTGAAGAGAATTACACAGAAAAATAACTTAAGAAAATTCCACTAAGGTCAGTAAAACGCTACGAATCTCAAGTTCATAAGTGAAATGGTCTCTCCTTTTTTCTCCCTCTTACTTTTACCATTAGTAGAAGTGAACAAATCATCAAGATCCAATTTCTATAATTTCATGGTAGTTCTTAACTTTTTGAACCTAGGCCTGCCTGCCCACATTTCCAAACTGAAATAAAACCAGACCTCTGTTGTGAAAATCTGAAGTATCCTAAGCCCGTTAATAGCCTCATTAACCTGTAAGCACGTGCTTTTTAAGCACACAGCATCTGCCACTGATTTTTTCTCCACTGAATAAAACAATATTTGTGATCCACCTATGTCATGTTCATTTACAAAATGCAGAATTCTGATACCCCTCATCAAATATCTTATTTCAGTTTCTCAAAACAAAACAAAGAACAGAACAAATCAAACAACAGCCACCACCACCAACCGTCAGCTGATTTGTCCGACATTTGGGTTTCGACTCATCCACATTCTTAAAGTATGTTGAAAAAACATAAACGTCAGAGTCTTTGTAGCCATATACTTACCCATGCCAGACTTGCCATCGGGATAAGTATAGACCTGTCCATTATTCTTTATAATCGGGAGACTGGATGGCAAAGGAGAAACTTCTTCTTCGCTTTCATCTGTACTGGAGCTGCTGCTGGTGTCCTCACTACAACTATCATAACCGTCAAACATCCCGAATGAATCACGTCTTTTCCTTTCTGCTCGTGAAGTAAGGTCTACCTAAAAATTAGAAAAATAAAAAAAACACACCACAAAAACAATAGCAGAGCATTCCAAGGGCACAATTTCAAAAAACAAACTTGGATTTTTTCAAAGGTCAAAATCAGCCTACAAATGTAGATGTATTGCAAACAGGTGTCTGCTCTGTCAACACAGAGACATGAACCACATACTGCCAATTAATATGCTCCACAGCAGTACAGTCAGAAGTAGCCAGTGGTTGGCATTGTGATATATAGGTAGAAAAATTTATCTCATGATCCGCTGAGAATATGCAGCAACAGTCCATACATTCCTTTTTCTTGGATCTTCAGAGTTCATTAATCCTGATGTGCAGAATAATGACAGCTGCACAGAACTTGTATGCAAATGAGCATATTCCAGATGGCTGCAGCTAATTTCACTAAAATTCATTAATTTGACAAAGCTGTGCAGAAAAAAGACAGTTCAAAAAAAATACACTATTCTAGGGGCAAGGAAATGAGAGTATAACCCCACTCTCACTGGCCTGTGGGCTTATAGATACTGAATCGTAGGGCAGGTAGGAGATTTTTCACATGTGAGGAACAGGAGCACTTCTCTACCTCACACGGATGTTCTGAGGATTAATACATTAACAATTATGAGGAGCTCAGTTACTATGGCAATAGGGTCTGTATAAATACCAAAAGACAGAAAGGTGACTAATTTGCTACTGTCACATACCAAAAAAACACCGTTACATAAAAGAGTTCTCCTATAACCAAAAATCAGAGGTCAAGTGAAAATGTACAACTTTGGAGAACATGTTGAGCAATTTCCAGTCAATACATTGTACGTGCATAAACAATAAATGTTCCGATGTCATTTTCTGATACAAACTCACTACATGCGCTTTGTGACATTTTCACTTTATGATGATTATTTTATACACCTCTATTGAAACAAAACTGACTCCTATAACCAAAAATCAGAGGTCAAGTGAAAATGTACAACTTTGGAGAACATGTTGAGCAATTTCCAGTCAATACATTGTACGTGCATAAACAATAAATGTTCCGATGTCATTTTCTGATACAAACTCACTACATGCGCTTTGTGACATTTTCACTTTATGATGATTATTTTATACACCTCTATTGAAACAAAACTGATGCTAGATAAGCAAGCTGCCTGCAATAAGCTGTTTTTTTCCCCAAAGAATTTCCATCATTCTGACCAATATCTACTTAGACTGAGGGGAGTTAATAAATGAAGTGAAGACATAGGAAAAAATTTAAACACAGAAACATAAGTTAGGAGAATGAAATACAGCAAGAAACCAAAAAGAAGTATCAAGAAAGCCTTTACCTCTACCTTTTTCTCCCAAAGCTAATTTTATTTCAAAAAACGTTGTAGACAGAAAAATAATGTGATCAAAATTTTCCCTCTTAAATTGCATTTGGATTCATAGCTTTAAAAATTTTGTCACAATAATTCCCCAAATCCCTTTCCTAGAGGGTATATGCCTCTACATCTTTATTGCTGGATCTCATTCGAGCCTTTTTCTGCCATACTCTCCCTTTAGTAGCATATTCTCTATTCTCCTTTGCAATCTGTCTAAATCCTGTTAGAGAAGGATTTCCTCATAGTCAAATGGGAGACTTGATTTCTGCACTGACCTGCGCTGCTAGCAAGTCTCACCTGTACACTATTACTGATATTACAAGCCAACAAGATGCAGGATGAATTATTGGTGTGTGCAACGCGTGTCATTTAAGCTAGAAGTTGAGCACAACATTGCCGTGGATACAGTGTCCTGCTTCCAGTACCAATAATGTACAGATGAGAACATGGCCAGAAGGCCAGTTGGCTTCCTCAACATTTCATAAGCTCCATAATGTCTCCCAGTATTCAACTTTCATTGACCAGAGGATACAGCCTCTGCTAAGTAATGAAATGCAATACTGTATTAACCACTTGACACCAGAACACCCCGACTCCTCCTACACTGTGGGGTTTTGGAGTCTACAAACGTGATCATCTTCTTCATTCAGCTGAGTTATAGAGAATAACTCACCATGGAGAATAACTACCTCACTGAGAGATGAGGATCCCATGTCATGTGAAGGAGGATGCAACTCTATGGAGGAAGCTGCAGCAGGAGGTAGTTTGGGGAATTCCCTTTCTTGCTGCAGACTAGAGAACTTTGGACCCAACACAGCAATCTGCTGCACTCTGCTGACCTGCTGCACTGCTAGAGATCGAAGAGCCACCAACTCACAGAAAGCAAAAGGAGCACAGGGTGCTCCCTGCTCAGGGCCGGAGCAGGGAGCCCTATAGCCTGCACTGCTCCGCTGCAAGGGGAAGGAGAACAGGGAAGGGACGGATGGAGGTGAGAGGAACAGGAACAGTGGCATGGATGGTACATGCTCTAAGGACGCTGAAGCAGGGTGCGAGATTGCTGCTGAAGACATCACAACAGCACTTTTGCCTCCATTTTTTGTTGTTGTTGCTCTTTCTCACAGACATTTAGAGACTAAGTAGGACTGCCAAGCCTTATTTGCCAAAATATCCACAGATGAGAAAGAAAAAAAGCTATAATAAACACTTAAAAGAGGTCTCATTTGCCATTCTTTCATTAACTTTGTATTTGGACAAATAGTCCTAATTTAAATTATGAGCAATTCAGTAGCTTTGTTTTTCTCTTTTGGCAAAAGCTTGAATAAAAACATTTATCAAGCTGCAAAATTTATTAAAAACCATAAACACACATGTTTACAGGATACTTTGGGCATTCTTAATGCTAATTTATAGTTATTATTCAAATTGTAATTCTTAGGAAATTACTCAAGATACATATTAGGAAACTTGAAAAAAAGTTATAGTCCTGCAACAGAAAAACACCCACTGACTTTGAAATTATAAAGCATTTTGTGTGCAGAGTTAGGTGCAATTTAGGGAAGGCAACATATAAACACATAAGCTGAAATTGTGCTAGAGCTGACCAAAACATTTCCAGGTCACTAAGGCTCTTCCCAACACATGGAGAAAGAGCATTGGTAGAAAGCAGCTAACAACTTGATTCTCTGGCAACACTTTCCACAGTCCTTTGAGATCCTATTCCACTTGCAAAGCCTGTCCAATGTTTGACATGGAAAAAAGCAGGGGTGCCGCTCAAAGGTCAGAAACTGCACCCTACGCAAAGGGTGGAAGAAACCCACTCAAATACTTCTCTGCAAGACAGCGGGATCTGGTTCCCATGGAGTCCCTGCGGCCGCTGCCTCGGAAGCAAAGCAGACAGGAGGCAGCTGCAAAAGGCCGCGCTGCGCCCCCCCCGCCGACCTCGCACAAGCCACGTGCAGCAGCAGGCTGCCTCATCAGCTGACTGGGAATCATTTGTCTCCCTGACACGGATGCACCTAACCAGGGCACCTGCAGGACCTCTAGGAAACAAGCCTCAGAAGGGTCAGGCTATTACGTGCAAAACAGATGTCCTAGCAAGTTCTGAGACATGCTGCTAATGAGAACGTAGCCCCTCCGGAAAGCTGCATCATAGTTAAAAGTATGACGGTGTCCCATCAAAACTACAAAACTGGGGGTTATGACTATTAGCAGGATGGGATTAAGCACATTTTTCAATTTACACACTTCAATAATCACCATTTGATACAGTTCCTTTAAAAAAAAAATCCCCTTTTTTTTCCTGCTGGAGACTACCAGCAGTAGTAACTTGCTCTAACATTCACATCACAGTAAAGATAGGCCCATCTAATAATTTGCAATGCAATGCATAAAAAGAAAAACAAAAACAAATACAATGCTTCCTACTCTGAAGCTGGACTTAGCATTAAAACCACACTGAGAAGATTACCTTTCCCTCAAAGCTGAATCAGATCAGTGTTCTTCACCAATTAACAGATGAAGAAATAGCATCCTGCCTGTTTGCAAAATATGCTTTGAGCAGGAGACTGTCACAGGGTACAGATCTGTATACTCAGACCTGTGTAACTCTGGTCAATAGCAAATGAGCAGTAGTTTAAGTAACTCTCTTGCTAAAAGAAAATCTATTACTACATTAAGAAGCAATACAGAAACAAACAAAAAGTCAAGCCAAGCTTTTAGGCATACCAGCTAAGAGTTATTTTCCCAATGAAAATACCAGTTCCTCAACAGGAAAGACTGTTATGAAGAGCAATAGAAAGTAGTATAAGTGAGACTGGCAGATAAGTCTATAGGTCTACTTGCTTGGGGGTTTTCTTGCATAGTTTTCTTTATTGAAGGGGTGGGTGGAGAAGGGAACTCTTAAGAACTCCTTTCTTATTTTGCCCAACTCCCACTTTCCAGTTCTTCCTCTCCCCGCTGTGAATACTTGGCAACAATGTATTTTTAAGAAATACTTTTAAGGTATTACACAAAGTAAATGAAACGATAAAAGAATAGTTAAGGAAACCGGTTTCCCTAAAATCATGAAGGCAATTCTAAACAGATAGGAAAAATAAATTGTTTCTCATTTCTCCCTTAGCATATAGTGTTGTACAGACAGTTGAATTTGTTTAGTACATTATATCACATACTATTTGAGTTTAGCAACTACTCTTACGGAGTAAAAACTTGAACAAGCAGAATAAATGATGCATCGACAACACACACACATACAGAAAACACTTTAATGCTAATAAAACATCAAATACTTACTCAGTAAACTGCCTTAGTCTCTTGATGAAGACTGCTCAAGTATTGGCAAAACTTTTGACAAAATGTTTTGCAGCGGAGAACTTGTTAGAGAAAATACCTCATTACACAGCAGCTAAATTCCCTGCCTCCAAGTAAATGCATCTTTGCCAAAGGAGGGTGATACAAAATGGTCTTTGGAAGGTTTCAACCTGCTCAAAATGCTTATTGCTATTATAATCTGGCAGCTGAATTCAGAAAGGCAGCAAATTAGAATTTTGACAAGATATAAGAACAGCAGCTTAATAAAGGCCCACGAGCACCTCGAAGACAGGCAACGCGTCCCTTGCTGTATTTGGAGCTAAGCCCAGGAACACGACAGAAGTGCGGACAGATGGCACTGGAGGCCAAGGTCAACAACGAGGTCATCACAAACTTCAAGTCAATTGTACATGATAAGACACATTTACTTTAATCACACATCCTTATCAGATCACACATGTACTTCCAAGCTAATACTAAATTGGATGCACAGCCCTTTTTTTTTTTTTTCCTCTTACAGAAGTTCATTAGTCCTTTATGCTGCAAATTTAGCTTCAGCTCCATATTTTATCATCAAGCCACTGAGATGACAGAACTAAGTCATTAAAACTCTTCAGAAATTCACCTAGCCAAAATAACTTAGTGTAGTAATACTACCTTGCCCCTGTGGAACTGAAGAACTAATTGCATCTTATAGTACGAGAAAAAAAGGAAAATTCAAACATGGTACCAATTTAAAGAAAACATACTTTTAGTTTTCATTAAAAACAAACAAACAAAAAACCCCAGACCTAAACATCTTGGGATTCCTGGAAATCACAACCAACCAAACTTACTTTTTATAGAAGTAACTCACCTCTATCTGGAAATGTGCCTTCCACTCTTATTACAAGTAAAATCTCAGCTGGAAAATTACAGAAATGTTTTTTCCTGTCTCTTCATTTGCTATGTATGACAGCATTTTGTCTGAAGCCAGTTTCTGCTGTTTGCCAATGGTTTTGTCCATAGCCTCTTCCCCAGGGGGTTTCACACAAGAGGGGAGACTCTTTTACAAAAAAATATATCAAATTAGAAGGCAATTTGGAGGGGGGAGGAGATGTAATACCTGAAATATTTGAGTTTTGAGAAAACTCAAGATTTGTTACAAATTCCATTACGCTTCTACAAAGCCCTCACACACAGGAGCATTTGGAAGACATGAAGTCTAAAAGTCAAATATTTTTATTTTAAACAACACATTATCATTAAAAAAGAGTTAAAAAACCAAACAAACAGAAGAAAACAAAATCCCCAACCCCTGGAACATTTGAATTCCATCTACATGCCCAGGACCAGATTCAGCAAAACATCACCATGCCCAGCATGTACTGACTTACCTGAGAAATGAAGATATGCGGTAGCAGTTTGCAGAAGGTATCAAGAGCCTTGCAGAATCAAACCAAACTTTAAAAAGGTAAGAAAAATGAAAGCCAAGGGAACTTTTGTGCTATCATCTTTACCACTACTGCCATGTAGTTCTTTTGGGAACCACAGCGCGGGGAGCCCTTGCGTGCAGCTGACAACCCTGCTGCACTGGTGCTGCACACTCCATACTAAGAACTAAACTGCTCTTCAGTGCAAAGGAGGGCTGTGCCAGGTCCCTAGGCTACGGGACACAGCTGTGCAGCACTTCCCCATGCCTGACACTCCTCGTTCCTCGGAGCGAGCCCTAGGCAGAAGCTGCGACTGAACATCACTGACCCAGCACACTAGCCTTTTGTTTCTGTAAAGCCTATCACTGGTTTAGGTCCCATTTAATTTTTCCAGACGACTTTCTCTTAAATTTATGATTCCATTCCTTATAGAAGGAAAACAGGCCGTTATAAATGACTAAAAAACAAAAAAAGATGTAAACAAATTAATACAGCTTTCTGACCTGAAAAACAGCCTTAACTTTAAATAGAGAGAACTTCCCTGCAGCTTGCAAAGCTGCAACTTGCTTTCAAAGTGAAATAAAGAAATCACGCGGGCTTCTACCCACGTATTTCAGTTTTATTCTACAAGGAATTACTTTTCTACATGCAGCAGCTTCTACCGCAGTCAGCGGACGCTTTAGAGCGAGGTAAATTTTTAAAGACAGACGGGACAGAGTCCTTCCCACTAAAACACTCTCACCGCCAACCTGAAAGTGAAACTGGTTCCGCGAGTTCACCGCTCGCGTCCCGAGAGGAGTCAAAACATCCACGGGCACCAAGAATCCATCTAACAAATAAAGGATATCGACGGGGCAGGCGGCTGCGAGGAGGCGGCCGCTGCCCCG